ACAATAAAACAAAATATTATATTATAATTGAATGTGTACATTTTTCTTGAACACTAATTACTTTTTATTTTTATGATTATTATATAATTTATATTATGTCGTATTTTAATGTTGAACAATAAGTCTAACACGGGAGATACCGGACAAATAGAACCGCGACATAGGTATAGCTAAATTGCCTATCCATAACGCCGTGTAATCACAACGATAATATTCAAATACACGAAGAAAAAAACTAACGGAAGAAAATAAAAGTATAACAATATTTTTAAACAACAATTTGATTTACAAATATATTTTTTTTTATTGCGGAAGTCCACGCATAGTAAATTATATAACTATTTTTTTTTTAAAAAAACGTCAAATTTACAAGTGTACGAAAATGTAGATAATAATATTGAATATTCATACACAAATTATTAAGTTTCTATTATAGGTATCTAAGAAAAAACAACTCTCAAAATGTATTCAATGTTTAAAGTCTAAGACTTTCAGCTATATTTTAGTATTTAAATGTATGTACATTAAATACAATTTTCTACTGCACAACAGTAATAAAACATTTTTGAAAATAAAATGTCTTAACTCGTTTTCATCTACCAGTATAATTTTGTCCGACAAAATAATATATTCTCCCCCACCGTTGGAGACAGTACGGGTACTGAAATTCAAGTTTACCTAAGCCCGTTACGCTGTTATCGTCACGTAAAATAAAATTGTATTCTCCAATGTGTCGGCATCAACAAATTATACAGGGTGCGTTGCGTTTTGAATATGAAATTTTAAATAGTCGACGTATAGTTGCGGTCAAACGGTGGGGGGGGTGAGGGGTCCCCCATGACTTTTTTTCAATATTAATATTTCATGAACATTATACCGAATATAAATAGAGCCATAGGGGTATTAATATTTTTTCTATTTTTTTTTTGTTTTTAAACAAATAATTATCTATGGTAAATTTGTATACACTTGATCTTATGTCTTACGATTTACGACTATATTTAGTATATTTTTAAAAATAGTGTCACGGTGTATGGTATAATAATTATTATTATTTACTATCTAGAGTCTAGACCCATACCTATGAATTAGGATATAATTATTATTTATATATACTATTAAGTTGTCTATACAAAATATCCTGGAATTACCATGCATACCGATATCGATACGGGCGATACGTATTCCTATTTCGTAGCCAGCGCGGGGCTATCTGTTGGTCGATTTATCTTGAACGTTGAGTTATGACTAAACAGTTTTAAAGTTTAAATCACAGGACACAGAGTTATAATATTGTTATAGTTTGTCTTTCAGCGATTCAGCTGTACAAAATTATATTATATTTTATTTTACAAAAATAATATGTTTGTTTGTTTGTTTGTTTCATATTTCAATATATAGTAGTGGAATACTTTATCAATACTATATAAAAATCAAATAATCAATAAAATAAAACATAATTAATTAGTGTCTTGTTATTTCCAAAATTAAAGTATTTATTGTAAATTTAGTTTAATGATATTTAACAATTACTTTTCAAGGTTTTCAATGTTTATTTTCAAATGATTATGAATCAGTAGAATTTGATGAGCTTGTCAATTTTTACCTTTCTACTAATATTCAGATAGTAAAAGCGGAATTGAGCCTTTGGAAAACAAAACTTTCACGTATAGGGAAATCTCCAAAAAATGGACTAGATGCAATTAAGATATGTAATCCTGAATTATTTCCAAATGTGCACTCTTTATTAAAAATATTTTGTACACTTCCTGTATCAACCGCAACACCAGAAAGAATGTTTTCATGCCTTAAACGGCTGATTACATATTTAAGAAATACAATGGTAGAGGTAAATATGCTGTACTTACTATACTACATTATTTAGGCCGGAAGAAAATGTTTTGGTTATTGGTTATAGGAATAAGTATTAAATTAACAGTTCAAAAACACTTAATTCAAACTAACTTTTTAGATTTGTTCATTTATTTTAGCCTTTAGGTATAGTTAAATTATAAGAATATTTGAAATGTAAATTTAGTGCTTAATGCTTAAATGTTAATATATTATGTTTTAATATAAATTTTGTAATTATATTATTTTAGAACCGTCTCAATGGCTTAGCCACTATGGCTGTTCATCGTGGGGTTGTAAATATAACCGCAGATGAAGTACGGGACGAATTGGCAAAGAAAAACCGAAAAATAGATTTAATAATATAATTAAAATATGTATTGTTAATTAATTTTATGTTTAAAAATATAGATTCTTATAAAAAGTGTTTGTTAAAAAACTGCTACATCCCCCCCCCCCCACATGACAAAGTCATTTGACCGCCACTGAGTCTCATATTCATTCTTTAAATATAACTTTAAATAATGTAATTAAATTTATATTCAATTTACCAAGGATTACCAATAATGAATTTGTATATAATGTTTTTTATCTACTTAATATTAGATGTTTATATTATAAAAACTTATTTCTCACATATCATAATTTTAAAAATAATACTGTTTATATTGATCATATTTATAATACGCGTTATAAAACTAATATTAATCTATATGTTCATCTATACCATAAACAGTTTGGCATTAAAAGTGCTATTTCAATTGCAATCAGATTATGTAGAATACTTAAAATAAATATATGTAATTTTAAAAATGTAAAAGATTGGAAATTGTACTTAAAAACGTTGATCTTACACAAATAGATTTATGATTATCGATAAATAACATATGATGCAATTATGAAAATTTTGTTTTAGAAATATGTTTGTAAATTGTCAATAATTGAATTCAATTAAAACTCCCCATCACAAGCTATGCTTATAGGGGAGTTGCAAATTTTTGTAATTTATCTTATATAATATGTACCTATACTTTTGAACTATCTTTTTGATTTGCGTAATATATACTATTATTATTATTATAAATAACTAGCAACTATACCCGTTATAATAATATAACTTTAATTATATTAAAATTATTTTTCATTTAAATTTAATATTTAAATTTTTTTAAATACACTATCAGAAATAATATGGACGGATGTTAATAGATTGTTCATATAGTAATTAATCTATAATCAGACTTGAAATACTTAAAATTATTTTACCAGTTCACAGTAAAATCATAAATACAAAATGTAAGTGTCAAACTGCAAATTTACACTAATAGGTAATAGAATATGTTTTATTTATTTTTCTGCTTATTATTCTTCTTATTATTATAATTCAGAAGAAAGTACAAATTGAGAATAATATGAATAATATTAAAATGTAATATATAAGTATCCATTATACGATTAGTTTTCCAAACGACTTTGAATACTATCTCGTTCGATTGAAAGTCGTTGTTTCTTAAAATTTAAATCAGCTCTTTCCGATTCTATCTTCTGCTCTTCGTCATTCAGCTCCAGTAATCTTGTAGAAATCAAATAGAAATCATAAATTTTGTTTTGTTGCAAAATACGTTCGTATTCAGTTTTATTTCTAAAACTTTGAGAAACTATAATACAAATTAATTATTAATAAAACAAATTAATATTTTTAATTCATTTCATACTTTCAAACATATGAATTTCTTGAGAACCGACAGACACTTGAGATAGATTTAAAAGTTTTTTTTTTTCAAATTCTTTGTACCAGTTTTGGAGATCTAAGGTTTCATTCCAACAAGGATTAATTTCGACTTTTGAAGATAAAGTCACACTTATTTTCTTAACATTTTTGTATTCAATATTTTTTCCTCCTTTTATTGACATAATATCACCTTCATTGGCATTAAAATCAGCAGCTTTTGTATCAGCAACCTTAAATAAAGCAATTTTAATATAATAATGTATCTTGTACGATAAATACATCCGTTTATAATTAAAAATTAATGCATTTGTAACAGTTAATGATTTTTTTATTCAACATGAAGCCCGGCAAAAAAGGCCATTATCTGTTTGTCTTTGGATTGTAGGGGAGAAATTGTAAGTTTTTAAACACGACTGTTTTTTGTTTGGTAGGTTTATATTGGGCACCCATAGGTATCTGCCATTCCCGGGGGTGGTGGCGGCCCTTAAAACAAAAATTCCACCCACTGCTGTGTTCGAACCGCCGTCGGTACGCGTCGCAACCAACAGTTTAGTCGCCTCCTCCACCTCGGTTCCCAGTTAAGGTTTATCACAGAATGTACTTAAAACCACTGTAGAGAGAAATATATAGAACAATATATTTTTTATTTCAAATTATTATTTTATATTATATTTTCAAACTCTACTTGTTATTTAATCAATATGTTTTAACAATAAAACAATAAAAATGGTACTTGATGTCACATCTTATAATAAATTTATATTTTAGAATAATATTTTAATTTAGACGTATTATTGTTTTATTTGTTTGTTAAATTAAAGGTTATCTTTAAAATTTCCTTTAATTACTATTTAGTAAATAATTGTTATCATCAAGTTTATATAAGTAATAACTGAATTATGAATTATGAATATTATTCAACAACTTAACTGAATCTATATTGATCTAATGTAATGTCATATTTTATATATTTATATTTATTTATTTAAATACAATTTCAAGTTAATAAGTTAAGTTTGAGGAACATTAAACAAACATTAACAAATAAATGGCAATAAGTACTTACTTTGCCAGTACTGTCTGCTAGTATGATATTTCTTAATTTGTATCTACCATTTTTTTCCTGTGGATCTTCTATCTTAATAATTACTCCAATAGTATCTTTCAGAATTAAAACACAATATTTAAACAATTCTTGGGAGTATAATAGTTAGGTAATACATTGCATTGTTAATATATCAGAATTATTACCAATTAAAGTGTCTAGGTCCATTGAAAAAACATTTTCAATTGTTTTAAGCTGTGGATAACTGGGAATATCAGTAGCTCCAGATCTCTCTATAATTGTTGAACTATTAAAAATGATTTCATAATCATGTTTTGTATTGATGTATGTCTTATCTGCTTCTTGTATCTTTCAATTTTTAATATTGTAAACATTATTTTCCTTTTTAAACATAATAAATAAATAAATAAATACATAGGTACTATAAGAACTAAAGAATTGATAAAAGTTTATATCTATACCCATCAAATCATAATAGAATAAAAATCCAATAGATAAAAATTTGTTTATTAAATAATGTAATTAACTTGTCCAATGCCAATCATATTTTGGAATACCTACTGAATTCCTGTATCTAACATTAAGATATTGCATCACCATTCATTAGTTGAACATTTTAAATGATATTTAAAAAGAAAATATATGCTATAAAGACTGCGACATAACTTAAGGTGGACGAACTTGTCTATGCGTAATTATTGGCATTGAGGGTGTCAAAATAATTTAAAACGTCCCTATATAATCTGTTTTTTGAAAACCGGAACCGCATATAAATATACCTAATAATAAAATGCTCAAAAGGACAATCCTTACATGAAATATACTGTATAACCAGATAATACGTAACTTCCTATGAATTAATGAGTAATTAATGATTAAGCATGAGAACGAGAAATTATTTATATTTTGATGTCTATGATATTTTCAACGTGTTAGCACACATAATATAAAAATGTTCAAGTTACCTGAAGTTGTGAAAAATAACGATCAACATTGCCTCCAAAAGCAACAGCTTGTATTTTACTAGTTTGGTCAAATAATAATGTTGTAAAACTTTTTCCATAGCCCTTTTTATATGGAAGAACATCGGATTTGTTTAGTACACGTGCTGTGATTGACCAACTAAAAATTAACATACAACTACTATGATTAGTGTGTGTAACACGGTGTGTCTTTAATCGTGGTGTGGTATAATAATTAAGTAAATAAATTTATATGACAGTCGACAGAGTACTTACTCACTGCCATTCAAAACGTCCTTCAAATCAGCAATTTCGTACAACATTTTTAAAAATTTCAAATGAAAGAAATATAAATTCGAAAACTGAAATATTAATGGTTTCAATTATTAATTATCTAACCAAAAACAAAATGTAAGCAAAACAACTATAACCAAAATCCAAGATACTATCGATTACAGAGTTAATTGTAAATTATATTATAAAATTATACCTACATGAACAATTCGGAGGGGGGGGTGAACCCCTAACACCACCACTATGTATACGAGCCAGCTATTATATAAATAAATGCTATTATAATAATTATTATGTAAGTATACTTGCAATTTTTTTTGGGGGGGTATTGTTTGTGTTCATTAAATATTAATTAATTATATACTAAAATATATATCATACTTGTTGTAACTAAAATTATTATACATTCATATTTGTTTGCAAAATCTATAAATATTAAACTTACAAATATATCAATATGTATAAATAATCGATATAGTGTATTAAATTTAAAATTGAAGAAAAACAATCTAAAACTATTAGTAAAGTAACATTTAATAATTAGATATACCTACACATAATATTGTAAAAATTATCCTGACCAACATAAATAGCAAACTAAAATATTTACAATGTACAAAAGTTTACATTAATAACATAAAAAAACATTTCTCTCATAAAATTTCTCAAAAATCATATGTATAATTGATCGGTTATTATAAATACTTAGAATGCGTATAATATTTGGATATAATCATATTACATCAATCATAACATTTCCTTATATACCGACCAGCGGTTCTTAACATTTTGTAGATCGCGGACCAATGATGAAAGATTTTTAGAAATCACGGACCCCTTTACTAATTTTTTTACAAAACATCTCATGTTATCATAACCAAAATTATAATAATTATTTTATACTAAAAATTACATTAGTAGACAACAAAACATACACATTTCCAATTATTTTTATTACAATTAATTTTTTATAAAAATGTAATATAAAACTATAATTGAGTAGGTACGATACTACGATCGATCAACTACAATTATAGTGGTGGTAACTATAAGACTGCCGAGACTACTTAACAGTGCTGTACGCATGTACATTTCGTATGAACAAGAAAAACTGATTACCTACTTAATAAATACTAATAATACAATTATTTGGTGTGGAATCTACATATGATACCTTTATGAAAAAAATAATAATAATCCAATAATATTGTAATAATGCACTCTGTCACTGATTGATGTATGTTATGTGTTGAGGCTGCCGCGGACCCCCGACATGAGTATCGTGGACCCGCAAGGGGCCCCGGACCACAGGTTAAGAACCGCTGTTATATACAATACGTTTTGGTTTAACTTCGAAGGTGATAAAAGGATGTGTCAGGACTTGCATTTGAAAATAATGTTTGGTTTTATGTTATTATTACAATCAAAACGTTACACAACATATGCGTTTATTTTTATTTAGAATTAAAAATATATTCAACTTTTTCCTTTTTGGTTATTGAGAATTAAAACGTTAGCTATCCAAATTTTGCGTTTATCGTCATTTAAAATAGTGTTAGTACCTACCTATTAAATTTAAAAATAATAACTAATGAAGATTGGTAATACGGATACTTCAAATAATATAATCAATTCTTAGATTGTTTACATGAAATAAATGTTTCTACGAAACCGGCAATAGACCTTTTAAATAAATAGATTTTTAAAATATTTCGTTTTGCGTTATTTTTCGTTCAATGATATTCTATAAATTACGTTTTGCGTTTTATGTTTTGTTTGATGATATATTATAATATATAATATTTTGTTTCGTGGTATTCAATTATTTTTGATTATCATTTTCCGTTATAGTTACGTTTACAAATTTCAATCGTTTTTTGTCAAATATAACGTTTAAATCATAAATTTATTATAACGTTTGCAAGACCTGGTATATGTGTCAATTGTTGGGATTTCCTATTCTTGATAATTCTACATATAACTGACCATGAGTAAAGCAAGATTCGTTTAAATCCAACAATTTTAATCTTTGACCCTGGACTCTGTTTATGGTGATACTGAAACACGATCATATAGGAAATTGAATTCGTTTGAATAATAATAATAATAATAATAATAATAATAATAATATACAATAAAAAATGGTAATCTGTAGGAATCATAGGAATCCTAGGATAACCTAACCTAACCTACATATTTCCCTTGCCTCTGACCTGTAATAATTTTGGCTTCAATTCCATTGTTGTGTAAATGTATTATTTTAAGTCTGGTACCATTCCATAATTCTGGAGGGTTCAAGTTCTTCAATAGCGTTATGGTTATTCCTATTTTCAAACCTAGGTGGCTAGGTAATAAGATATAATAACATAGTAGTGCATTTAATTATTATTTTTATTTAAATTTGTACGGTATGTAGTATGTACCTATAGCAAAATTGCATAGTGTTGCTGTTTGTGCTCGACTCGGGTATAGAATCACAGTTTATAATATGCTAAAGACAAGAAGTATTATGTAGTTAAGTTCAATTTATTATATAGAACTGAGGGAAAATGTGATACATAAAACAATGAGAATGAAGTTTATTCAATTAACCAATACAATATTAAGTACCTACTCTTATGTGTCAAACATATTGTGAATGGTACTAAATACCAAGGGTAGTAAACGGCAAATGTCAATACAATATATAATACTATGTTACGTGTTTGGGTGATGTCCAGCGGGAGGGTCTATCGTGGCGCCAGCTAAGTAAAAAAAAAAAAAATGCGCAACGACAGTATAGGTACAATAATATAATATATTATTATCTCGAAGCGGGAATTGCCAATTTAAACAGTTTAAATGTTGGTGTTTTTTTTATTCAACGGACCTAACTAATTACTGAATCAAATGATACCTGATGAAGTGGAAAAAATCAGAAAAATTGTGCAGATGATCATTATGCAAAAATCATCGAACTCGTACCGTTAGAAATTGAGGAGTTATTAAAGGAAACGTGCAAACTTTTTAATGAGAAATTATGACGAAATCGCATCTCACGTGCTGCCAGCATGACAAGTTACTCCATTCCATTTCGTGTACGTGGGACTAGACTTTGGTAGCTTAGGTGTGAGAAAATTACGTCTTATTTCATTGTACCAATATTGCTATTTCACGACTTCGTATTATTATTATTAAATCGCTTAATGTTTATTATATTTTATTAAATAAAATAATCTTAATGTTCTTTGTTGAATTGTAATCATTACTAGTACCTATACCTCTAACTAATAAGTGTTTTTTTAGTATTATTGTTAAATATGCACATATTTATGCACTATTAAGATTTAAAAAATATGCAAATAATTTCCTATTGTGTAATAAAAAACTAGACATCTTAAAACAAATGCAAAATATATTACGTGAACAAAAAAATCAAATTTAAATGTCAGTATACTTCTGCTTGCAATTTATGTGTATTTAAATGCAGTCATGCACAATTAATTGAAAACTTAATGTTGGACTATATCGAACACTTGTCCTACATATATTTTATCCCTTCCTAAACAAATATATAACCTCCCCTCTTATTTCCCCTTTAAAAATAAAAATATATAATATTCTGTTGTAAATATGTATCAACTTTTTCATACATACATACATGCATACATGCTCATAATATCATATAAGGTTATACGAATTTATTCAAATATAAACTATTTTCATACTAAATGCATTTACAAATGTTGTAATTTCAATAAAACACATGTACCTAATCATTGCCATTATCATTATCATCATAAACTGTTATTTATTTATTTATTTATTTATATATATTTACGGGTCTAGCCCTTTTGAAAAACAAAGTTTGATATATACAGATTTACAACTAATAAGATATACATAGGTATGGTATAAGCATTAACAGAGGCGGGAGGCGTCAACATTGGCAAGAGACATAATTCTTGTGATAGGTTCGTTCGCTAAATAATTGGAGGTGTAAGAAGGAACGTAGAAAGGAGCATTATTTCGAGAATTACGTTGAGGTACTCTAAAATTAATTAGGCTTAATAGGTAAGGCGAATCTATGTTACCTGATATCAATCCATTTAGAAACTTAAACCCTAGAGTAATTCTCCGATTAGAAAGGGTGTCAATATTGAGGAATTCGGAAACAGGGACGTAATCGTGAGGTTGATGATGTATATTTAGAATAAACCCAGCGAAACTAAGGAATTTTCTTTGTACCATTTCAAGTTGTCGAGAGTGGCCTGCAGTATGTGGATTCCAAAGAACAGCGCCATACTCTAAAATTGGACGGACAAGTGAACAAAAAAGAATTTTTAAAGATAGTCCTAGCTTAAAGTCGTGAGCCAATCTCTTTAAGAACCCAAGCATTTTGTAAGCTTTACAGCATATCATAGTGATATGCGGTCCCGGATCAAGAGAACTGTTGAACTTAAAACCTAAGTCAACTATCATTTCAACACGGGAGATTACCGAATTATTTAGACTGTAGGACCAATTAATTACAACATGTTTTCTAGTGAATGACATAATATGACACTTATCTACATTCAAAGTTAAGCCTAGTTCTTGAGACCATTTGTAAAAATTGTTTAAATCAGCTTGAAGTATAAGGCAATCTTCAGGAGAATTTATTTGCATAATTAGCTTCATATCATCAGCAAAACAAAGTAGTTTACAATGATTTAAAACTCTGTTAGCACTATTTACAAATAAAGAAAAGAGAATTGGGGACAGATGACCACCTTGCGGAACCCCTGAAGAAGCTTTCAATACCTTAGAAGTAGTACCAAATACTTTTACTACAAAATATCTATCAGAGAGATAAGAAGAGAACCAAGTTATGAGAGGTTCACCAAATCCTGAATCTTTAAGCACACGGATTAATAGTTCATGATTCACTGAATCAAATGCCTTTTTAAAGTCAGTATAAATGACATCAACCTGACTATGGTTTTTAAAGGCATCATAAACCAATGAGGTAAAAACAAGATTACATGTAAGTGTAGAACGACCCGGGCGG